TTTTTTTTTTTTTTTTTTTTTCTTTTGATCATCTTGAAGTAGGATGTCTTGGAGGTATGAGGATGTAGCCGACGCCTGCGGGAAAGTGCTGAATGAAGAGAAAAGTCCAAAGAGCCGATCTCTGCTCAATCAAGTTATGAAGGATCTTGAAGGAGTTATTATGGCTGTAAAAGGTGGAGACGAAAAAAAAGATGAAGGAAGTAGTAAATCTTCTCAGAGTAAAGAGAAGTCTAGTACCATGGAATTAGGGGAAGTGGAACTAATTCGTTTGGGATTTGCGTGCCGATTAGCTCTCCTAGGAAACTGTGAGAATAGATTCTCAAGCAAAAGTTCAATTGCTTCTCTTGAGTTTGCTACCATCCTTCTTAATTCTGGTCTAATTCCAACTAGGGTTATAGTTACGCCTCCTGAAGTAAATGTACCAGAGATTTCACCCGGTGGAGCCGGTGACTTTTTTTCAAAAATTTTAGGTAGTGGAACAGGCGGTGGTAAAGGATCAACGCGTTCTGATACCAAGGAGACAATACCAAATACTGAAAAAGTAAATCTTTTTATTACAATAGTAGAAGGAGTTTTGGCTCTTTCAAAACGTATTCAAAGTAAAGAAGTAAATGAAAACGTTTTATTTTCCTTGGTTACAGCTCTTCAAGCCTCAGCTGTTCCTATGTGTGGTAGAGCATTATTCTACGAAAAAACACGTAATAATTGTAGTGATCAGTTTCTTGCTGTTTGTGGTGATCTACTATTGCGGATAGTTAAAGAGTTGTTTAGTATATTAAAACGAAATAATGTTATTCCTCCTTTAATGGAGGAAGTAAAATCTGCTTTGAATAACATTGCCAAAGCACTATCAAAGTCAGTAGAACACGAAACAATAGGACTGAATGGAGGACAATTAGTTGAAAGCAATCAAGCTGACGGAGGGTTTCAAGTAGATGCTGCTAAATTGTTGGAGTATTTTTCTAGACTTACAAAGTCTTCAGTGTTAACTCAATCATCAGTTAATCAACAAGGAAATTCTGTGGGAATCATTAATTCATCTAATGAATCGTCTGTTGTTTTACTTACTGCATTAGGACTTAATCTTCACCTTATTGTGAATGGTGGTCCAGTTTTTAGGAACTCAAAAGTTATATTAACATCTTTGAAATCTTCCGTAATCCCTTCTACTTTGAGTGCTGCATTATTAAAGGATTTGGATGCGTTTAGATTATCAGTTAATGTTTTATTAACATGTTCAATTACCTTTGGACAACTTATGGTAAATGAGACAGAGACAATCTTTCGGCATTTGTTCTTTCGGGTTTTAGAATCTAAAACAAGTTCTTTAACTCAAAAATCCTTGGTTGTTGAGGCATTTCGACGATATATTGAAGAACCACAAAACCTTCTCTCTCTATTTTTAAATTATGATTGTAATACACGTTCTCAGAGTGTTTATGAACAAATGATAGGATATTTGGTAGCATTATCTATTCCATCTTCTTTAAGGAGCTCAGATGTACAAGATCGAAATGATTCTAGTTTTGAGAAAATTATCTTGGATTTTTCAGTTCCTGAAACTCTTCAAAGAAGTGCATTGACCACTCTTTTATTAGTTCCTTATTCAAATCGTCAATGGATTGAAAGGTTTGAATGTGACCAGAAATCATCATTCCCTCAAGCCGAAAGTTTTATAGGTTCATCTGTTCTCTCTGAATCGGTGAATAATCCAGATAAAAGTGATGAAAATCAGAGAGATATGACTGCTCCGATGAGTACAGAAAATGAAAATGAACACTTTATTCAAGCTATTCGTACAAAAGAAGCATTTCGTAAGTTTCTTTATCTTTTGAATGAGACAAGAGATTCTATAAGTGCTATTGAATTTCTGACAAACGAACCACTTCTTATTCCAGATATTGGTGATAAAAAATCAAATACTGTGGATCCTATACAAAAAAAAGATGTTAATGAGAGTTCTGAATCTTTTCCACATTTGGGGGGAAATTTGAATCATGAGAAAAACTATTCTGAAACTATAGAGGAAAAACTAGAAGAGAAAGCCAGTGCTATTGCAGTTTTTTTAAAAGACAAAGAAGATTATATAGATAAGTTAGTACTTGGTGATTTGTTTGCTAAAAGTCTTCGTAAACCTAAATTGCGTATGATTTTCGTAAAGTGGATAGAGCAACATTCATTTGCTGGAATGACTCTTGATGTAGCTCTTAGGCTTTTTTTAGGAGGATTTAAACTTCTTGGAGAAGCTGAGGTTGTTGATAAAACCATGGAACTTTTTGCAGCACAATATTGTAAGGAGAATCCAACCAATTTTCGTTCTGCGAACACAGCATTCATTTTATCTTTCTCAATATGTATGTTAAATACCGATGCTCATAGCCCCCATGTGAAAAACAAGATGACACTTGATGGTTTTATTCGCAATAATAGAGGTATTGACGAAGGAAATGATGTGGATTCTAATTTGTTAAAAGGAATATACGAACGAATAGTATCAAGTGAAATTAAACTTCGTCCTTCAAAATATGTGCATAGTACTTTAAATGTTTCTTGCAATAAGGATAGTTCTGGGAATAGGAATCGATCAACTAAGAGAATCTCTACAGGGGCACTAGAGTCTATTCCTATTCTCAAACATTTTGCTCCAGTTGCTAGAGCTATAACTGATACTGTTATGATACCATTAGATGTAGCAGGAAATGTACTCTTCAATACTGTTCAACGAAAACGGGAGGAAGTTTATCAAGCAGAACTTTGTGCTGCTTTAAAAGACGTTATTGAAGCACTTGATACTACTGATGCTTTAAACCCAAGTTTTGTTGAGGCTACTAAAATTGAAAATGCAATTCCAATGTGGTCTGTTACTGTTGATTACATAGTTAAAACTCTTGTGTATGCGTTTGAAAATTTTATTACTCTTGCAGAAACTGTTATTTCTCCTCAAAATGTTCAAGGGAACCATGATGTTACACTTGTGTTCCTTGCGAACTCTCAAAATCGGGATTACTTTGATAATCTTCTTCGAGGTCTAGTTAACACAGTTCGTGTATGTTGTGATCTTGGTAATATTTCTCATGCTGAAGACCTTATTGAACGATTATTTATTTTAACTCAAATTGAGAATGTTGTGAAAGTTTCTCAGCAAACGAAATCTACTGTTACTTTATCAAATGGAATAACGAAACCAAGAATTGAGTTACTTGCGACATTATTAAACTTATTCTTGGTTAATGGCTCTTCACTTACTACAAGGAGTTGGTGTATAGCTTACACTGGAGTATCATTATTAGATTTGATTGCTAATGGTATAGAAGGGATATGGAAAAGGCAAGGAAGTAAGTTATTATTAACTGAAGAAGAGCAACCCCCTCCAGATACATGGTTTGGAAATCTTGAAGTTCCTCCTTCTTTTGATAAGAGTTCTCTCAAAAGGCGTGCCATGATTTTAGGTACTCTGAGAAGTGTTTGCTCTGTAGATGTATGGCTTGATCGGTTATTTGATGCTACAGAATATCCATCACAAACACAAGTTTTTATGTCAAATGCTTTGGCTTCTGTGTGTGAAAAAGAATTGAAATGTTCACGTTCTTTTTCTCTGACTAAATTATTTGATTTTGTTAAAGTTTGTGCTTCATTCAGTTCAAGAATGCAGTGGAGAGATTTATGGACTAATGCTAGTAAAGTTTTTACTTTAGCTGGTTCAATGCCTTTTGATATAGCTAGTTTAGCTTTGGGAGGACTTCGAATTATTGCGCTTACATACCTTATACGCGAGGAACTTTTAAATTATTCATTTCAAAAAGAAGTACTTATCCCATTTGAAGCTATTCTTATGGTAAATCAAGATGTCAAAATTCGACAAAAAGTAATTGAAACAATAGCAGAACTTATAGATTTTCGTGCTAGTCATTTAGCGAGTGGATGGAATGTTGTCTTTTCTATTTTGAGTCATAGTGCTGTGATTCCAGAGGTTGTTAACTCGGCATGGGATGTTTGTGAAAATATAATAACTTCACATGTTGTCCTTATGAAGGATTGTTTTAGTGATTTAGTTTTTTGCTTAAAATCGTTTGCATGTAATAATGTTGATGAAAGAATTGCTTTACTTAGTACTTCATATCTAAAAGCATGTGGACACTGGCTTCAATTTGGATTAGAACCTCCACCAACAGATGTACGTGATGCTAATGCAGTTTCTCAATGGGCAAGTAGATTTAAAGATGCAGATAGTGAAGCACGTGCCTCACAGTTTATGATTGGAATACCACGGGTTACGTTATCATTGGCTCCTATTACTTCAAATCAAAATTTAGAGAAATCTACTAGTCTTACTGTAAAAACAAACTACGATTTGTGGATGTCACTATTAGAAGAAATGTTTCCTATTACTTTAATTCATCCTTCTGTGAGAGTTAGAGCCCATGTTATATGTTCTTTGTGGTCTCTTATTGGACAATATGCAATCGCTTTCTCTACTGACATACAGGACTCTCTATTTGGTGAAATTCTAAGACCTGTTATATCTAATCTTCTTATGCATGCACCAGTTGAAGAAGAAAAGAACCTTGATTCCATGGACTACAAGTTACTTACTTTTCTAAATATTAAAAGTATGTTTCTTGCTTGTTTAAAACATCCTCACCTTTTAAATCTTGCATGTGAAACCTTTACATCAATTTGCACAACATCATTATCTTTAGAAAATGTTAGAGCAGGTCTTGTGGATGTGATTTTACGATTATGTGTTGATCTTAAACCTCAAAGTAGTTATATTCTCCAGGATTATATAGGTACGGCCCGAGAACCATGGGTAGGGAGGTTGTGTCATGAATTAACACAAATAGGATATGTTGATGTTATTCATTTTAAGAGAACTTCGAGTTGGACTGAATTGCATCAAACAGTTGCGGTAACATCATCTACAGTTGATCTCGGAGCTAGTATGGGGGAAGAAGCAAAAACTATCATTACTAATACTGTTATAACTTGTCTTGCAGATGGTGTTATTCTTCAACTTTTCTCTACTACAAATCGTTGTGGATCGCAGCAAGATCATTTTCTTTGTTCCAAAACGATACGTAGAGCATATTTAGTTCTCGCTTTTTATTGCTTAGAAGATATAACTGAAGGGGTATTTTCAACAATATTGTCTGGATTTTCATTATCTGTATCAAACATACCTGAACAGTTGCTTCTTATACCTTACTTATGTCTGCTGATCGAATTTGTATTCGTTTTACGTTCAAATCCACCCACATTCAGTGAAACACAAACATTACAAAATACACTTAACGTAATGTATCAGACAATTCGGAAATCACGTGATTTTTGTGTCCATCATCAGGCAGAGTTGGTTAGTGCATCTGAAAATGATAAAACTGAAGGAGATCAATTGTATGGTTCTAGAAAACATAGGGGTCGTACCTTTATAGATATATTTCGTTCTGGGAAAGCACCACTAACAGCTCAAGCAAAGCATTTTTCTCGAACAGTTCCTGAAAGATTCTTTAATGAATGGGTATATCTTATATATATCCTTGGCTTAAAATTTGCTTTCTCATATAAAGGCATCATAGCTGACTCCATCACTGCGTCAACTCTTCATAATATCATATTATTGTTACCCAGTGAGTTAGAAGAGGAATTAGTGAAGCCTTTTTTTCTTAGTTCCTGGGAGGAACTTGACGTGGGGATGAATTTTGTTGAAGGCTCTGTCATATCATGGGCTCTTGATGTGTTGGAACGAAAAAAGAATTTAGCCGTTAACTAGGCATGAATACAGGAGGGAGGAAAAGCACATATTAATTGGTTATTATGTGTTCAATTTCTTGCTAGGTGAGGAAAGAGAGAAGGAGACCTGTATAGGACTTCTTCTGAAGAATTAAAAAAAAAAATGAGGGGAAATCTCCAGACTCAAGATTTTAATGTGAGAATACGAGGCGTATTTGATGATTAGGCTATACTTGAAATGTTGACAGTCTCTATTCCCTCGACTATTGTTCACTAGGTCTTGGTGGTTACATCTCTTTCTATGTCTGCATATTGTTTCCTTCATTTTTTTTTTTTTCCTCGCAGATGCGGGATATAATGAAAAAAATTTAGGAAGGCTAACGTAACGTCACCGGATAATAATAGGGTTTCTAAAGGGTTTGGAACTTGTAATATTTTTATCTTTATCACTAGAATGATATTTGGACGTGTTAATCTACCAATTTGAATGATTGACGATGTGAAAAGGTGTCGTCGAAAGTCGCTTGTGCATGAATTTCTCATATGCTTCTCTTTGCCTTCCTTCAATGATGTCATTGATGGCCAAAGGTAGTCTTACATTTTCCATTCGTAAATACGGAGTGTCATCAGAGCAGGGATCTCGAAAAACAATGGAAGATCAGCATGCGATGGTTGCTGAAACCATTCCTTTCTTTGGTGTATATGATGGCCATGGTGGCACGCAGTGTGCTGAGTTTCTTCGCGATAACTTACACACGTTTATTCTTAGTCGACCGGATGTCATGACAGACCCCGAGCATGCAATACGTGCTGGGATAGCCACAGCTGAGAGGGTATTCCTCGCCAAGTGCGCAAATGAAAAGATTGAATCTGGCAGCACATGCGCAATTGCTATGATTGTTGACGATACACTAGTGACTGGAAATGTCGGTGATACTGAGATAGTACTGTGTCGTGCAGGGTCTCCACTATTGTTATCAACAAAACACAGTCTACACTGCGGTGAGGCGATTGGTGTGGCATTGCCGAATTTCAGAAACATATTATCTTAAGTGTTTTTT